ATCTATCTATCTATCTATCTATCTATCTATCTATCTATCTATCTATCTATCTATCTATCTATCTATCTTGTTCATGGTTAAATATTTCTCAAAACCAGTTATTAGCTTAAAAACATAAAGCCCAATCCGCATATTAAAAAGCTGCAGAAAATTCCATCAACTCAGATTTTAAAAATTCAGTATATCAGAAGTTACAAGGCAGAATACAGATGAATAAACCAGGGAGTGTTGGAGGTTTTAGCTTTCTGGCATGTCTTGCATACAAATTGTGCATACTGTAGAGATAATGCCTAAAACATAAATAAAAGGACTAGACAACTGCTAAACAAATTGATGAATGAATCTGAAAAGGGCTTCTAAAGTTGCTTCGAAATTTTTACCCAGCTCTCTGCTCATGTATATTTTCTGATTCCTGCTGGACTCATTTCAGTGAATCTCTTCGTGCATGAATTATTTCCTTTACACTATTGCAAGAACAAAATCTCTGTCTGTCCTTTTAAAAATTGCTTGAGTGTATGTTCCTTTGAAGAGGCTTATTTCACAGTTGTTGTGCAATAGCTGTTATCCCAATTGTATAGAGTTTTGGAGATGTCCAAATCAAATTGCTGCCCTATATACTTAGGGATTTTACACCTGTGTGAGAGAGGCAAAAAGCAATTGCTTGCACAATCATCCAGGTTCTTATACAGGCTGTTATCATGTTTAAATATTTCCACTCTGTAGGATAATTTGATTTTAAACGTCCCCATTTCCCCCCACCCGCTTTCTTACTTTGAGAGTCAACTCTCTGATGAGAAATTTCTAGAACACAGATGGAAACGTGGGGCCAATATTGCTTTCAAGTTTCTAAATATCCAGTGCCAAGAATAAGCTTCAGCCTTCAACATCATTTGTTATTATAAAGTGGTTCAGCTGTCCCTTTTGGCGGTGAGAACCCATGACATCCTGCCTCTATGAGGAAAGAACTTGGCTATGAAGCCAGTGACAATTGTAAACATTGGCTTGTCCAGCGCCAAAGATCAGGAAACCTGGGAGGCACTCCAGAGGTGGTTTTCAGCAGGTTCTGACCAGTTCTGGAGAATCGGTAACAGACATTTTGAGTAGTTCGGAAAACCGGCAAATACCACCTCTGACTGGCCCCGCCCCCATCTATTCTCCGCCTCCCGAGTCCCAGCTGATTGGCTGGGTCTTCTTTGGTTGCCCTGCACAGGAGAACGGAGCTGGAAAGTAGGTTAGTGAGGTGGGGAAGGAATGGACAATTTACAGTATCCTTCCCTTGCCATGCCCACCAAGCCACGCCCACAGAACCGGTAGTAAAAAAAAAAAGAATCCTACCACTGCCACCCAGGCTCTGTTTTTGGCCACGACTTCCTCCTGCAGCCTTTTGCCAGTGAAAATGGAGCCCAGGCGTCCATTTTTGCTGGCAGAGGGTTGCAGGCCATCGTGGTACAAAATGGAGGCCAGAGAAGGCTACAAGCAGCCCTCCCAAGCTCGTTTTTTTTCTGGCAGAGGCACTGCAGGGTTGGTCCTTCACTGCTTCCCTTGCCACACCCACCAAGCCATGCCCACCAAGTCATGCCACGCCCACCAAGCCACGCCCACAGAACTGGTAGTAAAAGAAATGTGAATCCCACCACTGATTATTCCCGCCGTATAATTGTGGAAAAGATGATGACCAAGTTTCACAGCAGAAATGGACATTACGTACAGAAATGGAAATTACGAAAGAGAACTTTGGAGCCCTATATTTATACAAAAAAATACAGGTAGTCCCTGACTTACAACAGTTCATTTAGTGATCGTTCAAAGTTACAACGGCCCTGAAAAAAGGGACTTATGACTGTTTTTCACACTTACAACCAATACAGCATCCCCCATGGTTATGTGATCAAAATTCAGATGCTTGGTAACTGATTCATTTTTAGGATGGTTGACTTAACCACCGTGGCAAGCAAACCTGTCAACGGGGGCAAAACTCACTTAACAAATGTTTCGCTTAGCAACAGGAATGTTGGGCTGTGTTGTGTGTCATAACTCGAGGATTACCTTTACACACACAGGTCTCACACACACAGCCAAAAAACATGTTGATTAATCCAGTGTGCTTTTTTTAAAAAAAAAAAGATGATTTGGAGTAAAATAATGGCTAAGACTAAAGCTGACCAATATGGCTGCTTGTCAAATTTGCTTCACAGCCAATTGGTAATGCATATGTGAAGAGCAAATGAAGAACATTTCTTCATATGTAGTAGCCCATGAGGAAATATCTCTCTCTTTCCTTCTCCCTCTCCCTCTCTCAACCTCGCTCCCTCTCTCTCTCCCTCACTCCCTCTTTCTCCCTCACTC